TAAGTTGACACACACTGACCTTAAGCCTGAAAACATTCTGTTTGTGGACTCCAACTACGACATGAAATACAACTTCAAGATGGTAAGTAACAGCATAATAAAATGTCATACTATACTATACCCCATACTATAATTCAAAAGTTTAGGGTCAGTAAATTAATGCCAAGGGCACATTACATTTATAAAAGATATGAATATACTACAAAAGATTTATATTTCAAGTAAATGCTGTTCTTTCGAACTTCTTATTCATTCTTATTTAAAGAACCCTAAAATATGTATTATGATTTCCAAGGAAATATCAAACAGCATTGACCCCAAACCTTTGAGCAGTAGTATATGTCTGTAAGAAAGCAAGTGTTAGTTTATAGTGAAGGAGAGGATGATGGCAATTAATGTTCAATGTATTACAGAAGCGTGATGAGAGGACCTTGAAGAGGTTGGATGTAAAAGTTGTGGACTTTGGCAATGCTACCTATGACCATGAGCACCACACCTCTGTGGTGTCAACACGCCACTACAGAGCTCCGGAAGTTATTTTGGGTAAACTGTTTGCACTATTATTTTTGCTGTTGTTTATCCACTAAAACATGATTTTGAACATTGCAAAATCTCTGCTGGCAGAACTTGGCTGGAACCAGGCATGTGACGTGTGGAGTTTGGGCTGTATCCTGATTGAGTTCTATCTGGGATTAACGTTATTTCAGGTGCAAATTCACACATACATACTTTATTATTCTACTTAAATGCAAAATACTTACAAAAACTCCCTCTTTTTTTTAGACTCACGACAGTAAGGAGCATCTGGCAATGATGGAGAGGGTTCTAGGCCCCATACCTGCACACCTGCTTCAGAAAGCCAGGTGCAGTATCATAACTTGAGACTAGGCGTTTATGCCACTTGTTTCTAAATACACGTTTCTTTCATGACCAACGATATGAGAGGTTTTTAGATTTGTCATGGTCTGTCTTTGACTGATGCGTGACTGTGCTTCATTGTCAGGAAGCGGCGTTATGTGCATCATGACAAATTGGACTGGGATGAGCACAGCTCAGCAGGGAGATACGTGAGGAAACACTGTAAACCTCTAAAGGTAAAGATTTCAAACATTGAACTGCTTATTATGCTTAGTCTTGATTACATTATGCTGCAGATACTGACTCTTTATAAAAAGCTTTGTTCATGTAAACCAGTTTATAATATCTATAGCCTCAAAGCATAGGCGGAGGGTGGACCAACTCCAGGGTAAGGCTAAAAGCAGCCAAATCTATTAAAGGGGTCATATGATGCGATTTAAATTTTTCCTTTCTCTTTGGAGTGTTACAAGCTCTTGGTGCATAAAGAAGATCTGTAAAGTTGCAAAGACTAAAGTCTCAAATCCAAAGAGATATTCTTTATAAAAGTTCAGACTCAGCCACACCTACCTAAAACGGCTCGTTAGAAATCAGTGGTTAAGTTGTATTTACAACACTGTTCCAGAACAGTTCAACCCAAATATTCTGCAGCGTGCAGCGCATTTTATGGAGGACTGTTTACTGATCCTGGGAGAGTAACATTAGACTAAAATGTTCTGACTCATGTAAGTACGTTTTCATTTAAAGGGGTCATATGATGAGGTCATATATGATGATAATGTCACTTTCTGTATAATATTTTATTCGCTGTTTGAATAACCTTGGAAAGGAAACGTTTTATAATTACCACATCATAAACCCGTCTTTTTAGGCAAGAACCAGACATGGGTGTCATGTAGGCTAATAAAATATGTTTAATGGGACTGAATTTGTATTTTACGTGATTACAATTGAATAAAAAACGTTTATACATTTAGTATAAAACGTTTCCTTTCCAATGTTATTCAAACAGCGAATAAAATATTATACAGAAAGTGACATTATCACTAACTTTGATCTATCGCGAGTTTAAGCACTCAAAAAAAAACAACTATCATTATCACTTAAGCTGTCTACACTGTTAAATTAATTTCTTACTTGCATTGTAGGCTACATACATCTGCGCGTCCGGAATTCAGTCAGCGAACGGCACGCACTCAAAACTGATGAGTTTCAGCGATGACTCATCTGAACGCCTCTGATTGGCCATTGCATTCCTAAGATCAACAGAATTGTGTATGTTTGGTTCAAATGCGCAACACTGTGACGGAGGGTGGGCGTGGTCAGCTCGGAATGCATTTTCAAATTTAATTTTGCTACAAATATCCCACGGCGTCATGATGAAAATGCAATCCTAAGTGTTCTACCTGTTAGTCTAAATGCATTTAGGACAAATAGCATTTAAATGATCATTATGCTACCATTTCTGCTTGAACATGTTACACATATCAAATCAATTTGTGTTATACATTTTCATTTCGCAACTTATAAAGCGTTCAAATTTGCATGCAATTTACATATTAAGACTACTGTTGGAAATGGCAAATGTAAATTATATAATTTCATTTTCATTTTCCTTTTGCAACAAACTTTGCACGTATGGGTAATGGAAAATGTAAATTTAAATACAGAAATACAATGCCATTTTGAATATTGCGTTGCCATTTTGAATATTGCATTTCCATTTTGCATATTGCATTTTAAATTGAATTTCGCTACCTATATGCTTCCATACAGATCTTAATTTAATCGACACTTCTATTCATTTTCATTTTGTTAGCAACAGTCATAATAGATTTAATTTGTTTGTGCAGGGGCATTTTTGCCCCAACTCGCTGTGGACAGGGTAAGGCTTACACACGCTCCGCCTATTCCTCAACGTTGTTTTTGGTCACTTTGTACTGTTTATAAGCACAAGTACAAAATGTTAAAGGTTTTGGAATGAAAATACTGAATGTTTTTCTCTGAAATTGTGGTTGTTTTTTTTGGTGATACATTCCAGTGGTCTTTAATTTTTCCTCCAGTAACTACGCTGTATGTTTAATACTTAATTAAAAGTCTTGTGAACTACTAATTTTGGAGATGTACTGATGCCAGAATGTTAATGAGACACATTTCTGTTTGGTTTGCCTTGATGAAAATAATATAGTTGAATCTCTGCTCCTTACTCAGCAATACATGTCCTCTAAAACCCCGGAGCACGAGCTGCTTTTTGACCTGCTGCAGAAGATGATGGAGTATGATTCTTCCAAACGAATCACCCTGGAGCAGGCCATTGGACATCCCTTTTTCAACCCGATAAGAAAAGAAAGAAAGTGACTTTGAGGCGAAACAAAATGAACCTTACTGCTCCCAGGGAGACTGCTGCTGACTGTATCAGTCTGCTTTAAGACTGCCTGCATCATTACCTCTGTCTATATTTATTGTCAATTTGATTATATGGGCCAAATTTATATGGGCCAAATTGATCTGTACTTTTGGCAAATTAAACTTGAATGCTTTCAATACACACCATTTGTGACTTTATTTAGTCATTCTTTTTAATAATACTGAACTGACATTCAGAATTAGTGTATAGTGATGCAGAATATCAGGATCTTTTTTCCCCAGTTAGTGCTATTATAATCTCTGTCCTGCAGATGGCACCAAAAGGCCTGTTCTTTACAAATGCTCTTCTAGTTCTGCAGCCTTCTTTAGTTCTGATGTATTTTTTGAGCAGAGCAAATGGACATCAAGCGGGTGAAAATCTTGAGATTTTGCAGGATGAAATGCAAATAATCTTTGTTGCAACTATTATGTTTTTATTACAGACGGATACAAACATTTCCTGCAATAAAGGCTATTATAAAGCACTAATATTTGACATTCAGAGGCACATGTATTGTGCTATGCACAAAAAAGTCATCTTTTGACCCTTGCGTGTGTTTAATGTGAGTTTATTTTGGACACTGCCTTGTATCTGCAGTTTTCTTAAGTTCAATTTGCGCAATCGAAATGGTATTTTGGCGCATAAAGCGCAGTGAGGTTAAACAAAAGTTATATTTTTGACCTCTAGTGGTTGAAGCATGAAACTACGAATTACTCGCGAAGGAACACTTGGTTTGGCAATTACTTGGCTTAATTTTTGCGAGACATCACAAAGAAAAAATGACAGGAGAAAGACAGAAGACATAGCCTATCATGTTTTTAACCAAGCCTTCTCTTTGCCATACATGCCATATATTAGCAGGATCTTTCATATGCTATACATCAAATATTGGCATTTTTTCAATGTTAGAGGGTAAACGTTTAAGTATTTTGTTTATTTGTGTTTTTGTGGTTACACTTTACTTGAAGGGGTGTGCATAAGACTGACATGACACCTTCATAATCATGACATGACACATGTCATGAATATGAAGGAGGTTTTATGCACGTTTATGACAACTGTCATTAAGTGTCATTCGCTCAGTTATGTCAATTTTAATGCAAAGATGTCATTGTTTGAGATGTCTTTGTTAGGGGTAGGGTTAGGTCAAACAATGTCATCTTTGCATTAAAAATGACATAACTGAGCGAATGACACTTAATGACAGTTGTCATAAACGTGCATAAAACCTCCTTCATATTCATGACATGTGTCATGTCATGATTATGAAGGTGTCATGTCAGTCTTATGCACACCCCTTCAAGTAAAGTGTTACCGTTTTTGTTTATATTTGATGTGTGTGTCAAAATAAAATCTTAAATATTGACAGTTCTTCGAAAGTGCTTGAGCGGCTGTACTATTTCAGACGCGCAACTTTTGTTATTTTCCTTGATAAATTTATAGCCTTATCTCACTTTTGTGTTCACTAACGTTTGAAACATATAGTAAAAGAATAGATGCTCTTAAGACCCCCGTCATCCTTTAGTTTTTTTCTTTTGACCTTTGGGGCGAAGAGGGGCACACACACACACACACACACACACACACACACACACACACACTATTCGCACTCTGTCGTTTACATAGTTTTGTTGACGGCAGTTCAGCAGCGGAAAAAAAGGGGCTGACTGGATTCTCTGAGACACACTTCTGAGGGAAACGATTTAACCTGCGCTCGAGACGCAGAGAAAAGCTCTCTTCTAGTGGGCGTCACATCGTTGCGTCGTCTCCTGTCAGCCGAAGTTACTCTGAAGCCAGAAACGCCACTTTACTGAAATAATGGTGTACACGAGTCTTAAAAGAGGATTCAAGAACAAGGATAATATTTGCACCGTAATGCCAAAAATGGTTTCAACTGGGGATTCAAAAGATGCGTCAAAGACATCACAGAGCAATGGACATCACACATTACAGATATTTCATTGTTTAACGACCCTCGTATGCTTTATGTTGTCGGCGTCTTCGGTGGCAGTTTGTCTGCTTATGAACGTCAAAACATCTCATCTTGAGCGTAAAATTGAGGTTCTAGAGATGGAGCGACTGTCAGTGATTCAACCTGTGCCTGCGACTTTTCGGGATGCGATAGAGAAACTTGTGCAAGAGGTATGTCGTCTATGTTTTCATTAATTCTCGCTACACTTTTACAAGCACTATTACCAAAAAATTAAAATGTCTGTCTTTCAATATTGTTTTTTATGGTTTATATATAACATTTATAATGTTCTAATATATTTATTAGGCTATGTAACGTATGAAGTGAAATTTTCCGTCTTAATTGGTGTTTCCCAAGTATTTTGAATTACGTGTACTATTTTAGGATTAGCTAAATAAAACATCATTAAACTTAACTAAAAATATCCTGGTAATTTTAAATCACCAGTGTGTATATATGTTGTAGCCTATATCATATAAATATATATTTGTTTTCTCAGAGACTAAAAGAGGGAGTGTCGAAAATTCGCACAGCTCGAGAAGCAGCGCAAGACTGCTCGTGTCCTCCAGGTTTGTTTCTCTGCATGAGATGTTTTTTATGTTCTTTTCCCTCCTAAAACGATCAACTGAAGCATATTCACTCTATTTTTATATCAAAATCTGAACTATGCCTTAAATTGGGCCAATAAATGATGCAGCAGGTGCCTCTCTAGCATGTGATGTTGATAAGAATGTTCAGTTCAATAGGGACTTGTCTTGTGAAGCTGTTTGCAGTTGTACTTTTTGCAGGTTGTACTTGCATTTCATTATTGCAGTCTGTTTTTCAAACTTACGTTTAATGCTAAAGTTATAACCTGCAGTATGAATTTAATTCCAGATGAAGAAAATCAAGTTGAAACTCTGAAAACTCATCAAATCGATATGAAACGACAGAAATTATTATGACAAGTTAAATGGATGGACACAGAGATGTTGTAATGATGAAAACAAATGTTACAGCCTGGATAAGTGTGAGTGATCTGACATGTCAGTGTGACCACATGCAGAACCACAGCTTATATACTTCATGCTGAATTAAATAACTCACATGTGGAAATTATAAAGATGCGAGTGGCGCTCCACTGTCCGCAGAGGCCGGTGGATGCCACAGATTTATTGTGTAAGCTGAGCTACGAGACATTAAAATTCATTGCCAGCTATCGGTGCAAAGACGGGGATAGACAGAGGATACTTAACCTTGCATGAATTTGTTGCTCTGTTCTTATGTTTTAGTCCTTGGAAATTGGGCTGTTGTCTGAGAGAAAATGACAGGTTTATTCCAACACTGTTTAAGAGACGTACCCTCTTAGGGCATAGAGGAATTATGCATGGAGAAATTTACTGGCCTATGAAGATTTCATGGTAGCGGTGCCTACCAAAAGAGGGCCTCCCATGTACCCTCTGATGTTGTTGCTAAAATGTGGGTATAATTTAACTTGTAGCCCTGTCCCATAGGACACTACAGGTTCAATTAAACTCAACTCAACTCTAAAGCTCTTTTATCTTTTTTTCTCTGTACTCTTTTTCAAGGACTGGTTTCATATCTATTCATATATAACCTTATCATGCACATTGTTCCTTTCCACGCTTCAAATTTTGCCATGAGCAAAGAGCATATGTAGAGTTTTGCTTCTCATATCGTCATCCTGAGGTATTGTGGCTACAAATTAAATCCAGTCTTTTTCATCCCTGATATTGAAATATCAAAGTGGATAAAAGAATAGAAGAAAGAACATGAAAGACATCAAAAGTCATCTTGTAAGATCAGTGAACCTTGATAACTTAAAAATTACTTGTTTTACTGTTTTATTCATTTATCTTTGGAGGAACCATGATGAGTTTTGTGTAGATCGTATTAACATTTATCAGATACTTAATACTTCACTGGCACTTGGTAAGGAAACCATCATCATCACTAGAATTAAAAACAAGAGATGTTCAATCACTTTTCTGAGCAATCAAATGACTTACACCTGACAAGTATATAACAGGCAAACAATCCCATATACTTACACTGAAGGAGCCTCAACTAGGAACCAGAAAATAATACAGATCACATAAACAGTGAACTTTATGATATTTTTTTATCATTTATATTTGATAATTCACTGTTTACATCAAAATAGTAAATAGTCAGTGCTATTCAAGTAAAATTGAGCTCTTTTTTAATGCTCATGGGAGCTTTATATCGGCTGTTTCACAAATTATTTCATGACACTTGTTAAGGGTATCTATAATTTACAAGCTGGCTGCTAGTATAATATGGACATTTAAATATGTCATTTACTGTGATATAATGTTTTTTCTGCTCTAAATATACTTTTTTTAGTTGAATGGTATTTGTTATCATTGTACTGAAAGGTAAGAGGCTTTTAAACAATTCTTCATTTTAAAGAATATAATTGCAGTTTGTTGGAAGTAAGAATTGTTTCTTAGTCCTTAAGAGTGAATAGACTTTTTGTCTTCCTCACTTATGTTTCTCCAATTAAAGGCTCAGGTGTTTTGGTGAATCAAACTGTTTTCTTGAGCTGAATGGTAAACCTGAGTCATCCGTCTGTGCAATTTGCTGTTCCTTCCTATGCTTTTAATGGGCTTCTTTTCAAGGCAGACATCAGAAAACACACTTGAACCACAGACACAAAAGGACCAAGACCTGCGGACCATGAACTAATGAGCTCAACAAAGCAGTTAATTGACCCAGGCTTCGTAAAAGCTGAAGCCACTCAGACTTGGGCTTCCTCTGAACCTGAAATGACGACACTGGTCACTCAAAATGAATGAGATAGTGAAACAATTAGCCGCTTAGACACTTCCCTATGACATTTGAATTCACTGTAGCTACGAGTTAAGCAGAAATACATTTAAACAACCTTCATAATTCACAAATTATACCACTGGGGGGAAAAAATGGTATGGTATATTTTTTTTTAGTCAGTAAAATGTCAACCTTTTGTGAAATGGAAAGGTTCCAAAGATGTTAATGGTTCTTGGAACCATAGATGCCAAAAAAAAACAAAAAACTCTTATTTTGAAGTGTTTATGTACTAAAACGCAAGTTTTGAGCAACCCCTTCTACAGGTGCATCACAATAAATTAGAATGTCGTGGAAAAGTTAATTTATTTCAGTAATTCAACTCAAATTGTGAAACTCGTGTATTAACTAAATTCAATGCAAACAGACTGAAGTAGTTTAAGTCTCTGGTTCTTTTAATTGTGATGATTTTGGCTCACATTTAACAAAAACCCACCAATTCACTATCTCAACAAATTAGAATATGGTGACATGCCAATCAGCTAATCAACTCAAAACACCTGCAAAGGTTTCCTGAGCCTTCAAAATGGTCTCTCAGTTTGGTTCACTAGGCTACACAATCATGGGGAAGAC